ATATGATCAAACTCAAACAAGCCACCCTAGCTAGACTACTTAATTACTATATGCAACTATATACTATTCTGATCTTATTTATAAGGGAGAGAGAAGATGTTTTTTATTCCTATAGGGCACTAAGAAAAATTTTTATATGAATGTATAATTTTATTCTTTATTTATTGATGTGTTGACTTTCTTTACATGTATAATGGATATTAAATAGGGATAAATTAAAAAGTTATTGACTTTTAAATGAGAGTTAATGAAATTTAAGATTTTTCTTAATATGTGTGAAACATGTTGAAAGTGACTTCTACATAGAACCAAATGAACATACTTTAAGACCAAACTGAGTAAACTAAAGATAAACGAAGTATGTTTTCATTTAGATTGAACTTGCCAGCCTGGGTTCTTTGTCTTCCAGATGATTTTATCCGGAGCAATGGGTCAGTCTTTGGGTGCTGTTCGAGGCTCCTCAATGACTTCACGCATATGCCTTCCGCCACAAAAGGAAAATAAATAAATACTTGAATTGGTGATATATCTAGGAGACTGTATGTATTCTAAAATATAAAGAATACTGAATAATTACTACAACTCATTTTTTTGTTATTCAAAATTTTACAAATTGACATCCACGTAATAAAGAAGGGGCTCATGTTCTTTGTTTCTTTCTCTTTTCTCTCTTTTTTGGTCCCCTTTCATGAATTAAGCTCTCTCTTGTCCGGTAAAGAAAGAGGTCAAAGGAGGAAAAAAACAAAGAAATAAATGTGGGGCCACTGGATCTCATGGATTTTGGCTGCAACATCAGCCCCCCCCCCCCAAAAAAAAGCTAGCGATATACTTACAGTTGTAGACGAGCTTGTTGTACCATCTGAAATTGCTGCTGCTTTCAAAGGCGGAAGGTTTGTCGGCCAGGATATGGAGAGGAGTAATTCCCTTTTCATCCACAGAGCCCACTATGTGCCTTCCGTAAAGATGAATGATTTCAAATGCCAACCCTACGAAGAATGCGAACAGAAATGAGTTAAATGATTAATAAGAACAAGGGATGGCGATGAAATGAATGAATAAGGGGGTAACCAACCAAAGTGTTGTCGGCGGATGGTGCAGTGAAGAATAGTCTCTCCGTCGCGGGTTCTTTTCCAGAGGCCGCTAGTTGGGTCGGGGCAACGAGAGTGGAGGTAAAGGAAAGCATCCTTTTGGCCGTGAAGGGCAGCCAAGAAGAGAGGAGTCTCTCCTTCCTTGTTGCGAGCTTTAATCAGTTGGGTGTCGCCTTGAGCTTCGGCGATGCCCTTGCACGTCTCGAGGGACCCTCTTGATGCCGCAAGGTGCAGTGGGGTATCTCCTCGATCATTCTGTGTTTTCAGCGCCGACAGCGACCCACTTCTTGTGATTTCCATTACTAGCTTCTCCACCATATCTTCTCTGTGGTCGTTCACCGCCACATGCAACACAGTGTCACCGGAGCTGTTGATCTGTTTATCGTGAATAATACTCACATTGCTTTTGTATATCGTCAGAGCTTCATCCCAATCACCTTGCAGCGTGGAATGGTATAAACTGTGCGTCGTCATCAGAACATCCATACCAGAATCCATATGTTGCATTTTGCCCTGATGCGCGAACCAACACAATGTAACTGTGTGTGTGTTGAGATGCTGGCAGTGGCTGGGGGTCACTTAGCTCCCAAAACTGGCTTTTTATACTGCTCGACTGCTCCCATGTGCGTCTGTACAGTACAGAGGGAATGCAGCTTATCGGGGGGAAAAAAACAAAAGTGCACATAACTAGTATAAATTTAATCTCAATTCAATTTTTTTCAAAGAAATTACCCTAACCCACTCTTTTTTTTTTTTTTTTTAATAAGGAAGACACACACCCACACGCATCGCATACCCTCTATTAGATTAATCTCACCGCCTTTTATTATGTGAGCTGTCATTTGAGTTAAAGGTGCTTGGCATATATTTTTAATTATTTCAAAATTAAAAAAAATATAAAAGAAAAGCGTAACAAAAGAGAAAGGTGGGAAGAACATCTGGCTGTGAATATATGCGTACGTATGTCATCCTCCCTCGAAGTTAATTTGTTCCAATTTCGTCAGAGCCAATGCTATTTCTTTTATAAAAAAAATAACTTCGACTGCGAGAAGTAGATTTGTAGTAGTAGTAAAAATAATAATGATAAAAAAATTGACGCTACCTATATACTCCCTGGTACTTTTTATAAGAGCCTAAAATTTGAATTGCTTTGATCTTTTCTATAAGAACCTATTTAGAATTGCCTGAACATTTAATGTATTTTTACCATTTTTGTTCCTAATTAATTTTCCACATTACATTAATTTAAAAGATGAAAACTTGGCATATTATCTTCTTTTTCATACTTTCTCTCATTATTACTATATTTCTCTCTCTTACTTGCCCCCTCATAAATAAGAATATACTTGAGAAAAAAGTTTACTTTTACATATTTATTACTTTTAACTAATTTTAACTATTTTCTTCAGCTGTGTAATTAATTATCAGGCTCTTATAAAAAGTACCAGAGGCAGTATAGTTCTCAACTTGCCTTAAAACTTTAATGGCTGTATTAAAATGAAAAAAAAAAAAGGAATATGTTGAATCGAATGCGTGTTTAGTTTAAAAGACTAACATCCGTACTAAATCCTGGGTGGGGTTTCATTTGACTCTTTTTGAGATATGCAAATAGTTTAAACTAGCTTCTAATTCAAACGTGTCGGCAAAGAGTGTTTTCATTCTCAAGGGATCATTCTGAATTCTCAAATCAAATGTGCGTTCCAATGGCATATATATTTTAATTTTTTAAAAGCTCCCTACCCCCTACTCATTCTTTTGAATTCTTTTCGCTCTTTTTTAATATAATAAATTATCCATGCTTAATTAATTAAGTGCCTCCCCATTTTGCCCTCTCAAATTGGCAATCTTGAAAATTACAAAATTGACATCCTCACTTTAGACGGAACCTTTTGCTTTGCCCTGTGGAAAGCACCAGCCAAATATACCCATGCGTTTCACCCCATGCATAATATGCTTTCCCCTCTTTCCTTTTTATTTTTAAGTTGGGTATTAAATGTGATTTAACAAGGTTGAAACAGTGGTTTATCACTTTATGGACTAACACGTTTTATTAGACCAAATTTCTGTTAACCACTACTAATATTCCTTAATTCTTAGTCACCCGTCACTTTAAAAAAAAAAAATCAATGCATCTTTTGTTTTATTCAAGGAGGAAGGTTGGGGGCGCATTATTGAATAAATAATAGCGAAAAAAATAGGCCTCATATCTAATCTTATCAACTTGTATCGCTTTCTCACTTTTGGCATATGATACGAGGCATATTTTGTAAGTTTTACGTTTCAATTTCGGCAAAAATATATAAACCATTTCTCAAAACTTTTTCCAGAACCATAAATAAGTAAATAACTCACTATAAAAAAACATGTAATTAATGACGGAATTTTTATTTAGCGTTCCGTTGGTAATCAGCAGTTTTTTTTGTAGTGCTTCCTTCAGGTCAATTTATACTTTCATGAAATTTAATTTATTTATTATTTTCATTTTTTTACTCAAAGCCTCCTTGCGGTTCATCCTATTAACACCGTTTGCGATATCACAATAATGAAACACACATGGCATTTGATATGAAAACGTATTTTATTTTATTTTTCAACACAACTGTAATTTTAAGAAAAGAAAACGCATTATCTGAAGAAAAGAGCGACGGACGAAACCATAATATGACTTCCGATGCTCTCACTGTCCTCACGTCTTCATCAGATGGTCCCTGGCATTAGAGAGGCTTGGATACAAATATTTCTTTATTTTCTAAGCCTTTTTTAAACATCTTATTATTTCATCTGGCAATTATATAATTACTATTAAATGGTTAATTTCCATTAGATGTCTTATGTTCTCTATTAATTTCACCAGTCAGTTTCTGTTTAAAAGATAACAGAGAGTTAACATGGAGGTCCATGGTTTAAAAAAAAAAAAAAAGACTCAAGCAGATTAATTTTAAACTTTAAAATATTAGGGGTTATATGTATTTAAGCTTAGGAGAGGCGGCTTATATATATGTTAGCTTCCAATTTATAAAACATTTGGTAAAATGTTAAAGAGTTCGTAATCAGTGTGTTTATTTCGAATATAATGTCTCTAACAAATAAAAAATTACTTAAACTCCATTAATATAGTTCATTCCCTATTAAGAAAATCAACAGTTTTTAACAAATATGTTTGGAAGTATGAGAATGTTTTATAGACATTAATCGATTAGGTGTGAGTTACTTTAAATTGCCTCTAAGTGGTTGAGTACATGTAAGAGATTTAATCAATCATCAATTAATATAATGCTCGTACTAAAAGTTGAATGGATCCATGCCTTAGCAAATAATTAAGTAAATAGTGATTAATTAACTGCTTCATAGATATTGATTTGGTGAAAATGCTTAGCCTTTTGTGGGGGCTCGGTGATTGTTCATTTTTGTTGGATAATTTACTCTGCAGACCCCTGATATAGGACCTTTTAAATTGGTCATAATTACTTAAAATATCCTTATTTATCTTAAAGTATTTAGAAAATGGAATTCACTCACTCTTTTAGGTGGGTAGTTTTAAAAAAGAAATTGTTACTTATTTTTAGAAAATTAAGATTACCCGATCTCAATTTCTCACCTTAATCCAACCTTTCATGTCTCGCTTAATCTAAGTTTGATACAAGCTATCGTATCTGAGAAAAACAGAAACAGTAGTACGTAAATGATTTCTTTATTTAATTCAAAAACAACGACGAATCACTTACATTGAGGCTGCGTGCTCACGTTAAGGAGGTTTATAATTCCCCTTTAATAAACAAACAAGCACAAGGAACACAAATTGATGGAAAGAAAAGCAATTATTTAATATCAGAAAATGCATAGGTTCCACTGGGAGGGGAACAAATGAACGAAAGAAAGGCGTGAATTTCCGTCGCTGGAGAAAAGATATAATCATACATGGCCAGAAGGGAGCGACTGAGGAACCTCTGTAATAATGGATTTCAAAAGATCCATGTAGAGCGGAAACTGTACGATTGCGTAGAAGGAAACAGGAAGGCAAGTGGCTGCATACAGAGGGAACACTGCTGTCTTGAATTTGTCCTCGAGCACGAAGAAATGTGCGGCGCAGAAAGATATAAGCATCGAGGCAATGGACACAAACAGCGAGCTCAAGCCCGGAAGAATCTTGAGGGGCAAATTTTTTTTAAAATCTCTGGGTAGTTTTCGAGAGGTGAGTATGGAAAGGAACATGATCAGTGCAGTAACAGAGAAGCAGAGCCCAATAAGCGCAGTGATAGCGAAGAGTTCAAATGCCGGCTGTTGTTCTAAGGTCGGTTTGCCAGTATCACCATTAGTCCCGCCGGGGACTTGGCTCGACGTTGCAAAGGAAACTCCGGCAACCAGCGCAGCCACCACCGAACAAGATTCCGACGTATCCTTTAGCCACTCGCCACTGTCTTTGACCAGAGTTTCATGACCTTTAGTGAAGATTTGTTCCGGAGTTTCGTCTTTTGCATTGCTAAGGGAAAGGAAGTGGTGTGGCAACAAGGATTTCACATACTGCAATAATAATTCAAATTTCATCTCAAGAAAGTACATGGATATTGTGAGGATGGCACTTAGACATGCCTGCTTGATTATAGTAAGTTAAATTACCTCATACCACTTGATTTCCCATTGCATCCGCATTGCAGTGCCATGAATCTGCCAAGGATGTAACCTGGATTCTTCGTACTTGGCTGCTAAGTGCAATATAGTATTGTCATCAGTATCCACTGATTCAATGAGGTCAGCCCAAAGATTAAGCTTTAACTCTTTGTTTACTTGTTTCTGCACTGCCTCAATAACCCTGGGTTGCCTGTTCTCCACTGCTACCTGCAATATATTTTTATCCTTTGATGTGGTTTCGTAGATGGACACCGGTAGTTGGCTTAGAATTTCGTTCACTACTTCAATTACGCCTTTCTGGGCTGCCACCAACAAGGGTGTATAAGTTTCTGTCTCTTCCTTTGAGTCCCGACCATTGCCTGCCATACCATGCACATGCATGATATAATATTCAAATTCACCCATTCATCCATCAATACTATTTCTAAGAGCCGGACATTGAATATTTGTGCCTGCTTTATTCATTAATACAGCAGAGATATATATCGTATGTTTAATTGATTTGAAACAGCTGAAAATTCAATGGACCATACCTTTTTGATGAACTTGGACATTCGTTTGTGCATTTTGATTTCTCGGATCAAATACCTTTCCTATTCCTGGGTCTCTTCCTTCGGTAATATATGCCGTACTATGCTCTTCCATGAGTGCTTTCAGTATCTGAACACTCCATTTATGTTTTTCTTTCTCCTCCCTTATTTTGTTAACTATCTTCTCTGTCAAGTAAATTCTCCCATGAACGACATAATTTTTTTATAACTTATCTTATAATGATTAAATACTAGATTAGTAAACTCCTACATTTATATAAAATCTAAACTGAGCAAATATAATTCACGATTTGTAAATAGTGAATGTGGCCTCTTATGAATTTTAGATATAACAAGAGTAGTGCAAGAAATGAAACTCGAAGGTCGCATATATATACCAAATCCCATGAAGCGGAACAAATTTAGGTAGACGGAGACCAGAACCTCATAACAGGTAGTATAATTCTGAGGAATATTTTTACTGATATGGGAGTTATTTGGAGCTTCTGGATCTCTTCCTTTCTCCTTTTCTGTGCACCAACAAATCAATAATGCATAATTAGATGTCAAGGAAAATTCCGTCTCTGGTTTACTAATTTCTTAAACTATATAGAGTGTTAAACATTTTTCATAGTATATTGCAAAAAATTCTTTTATGTCTGTTGAAATTATAAAACAGTGAAACACACTCTTTAATGTAATTTTTACCAAAATGGCTTCCAAAAAAGAAAATACTCCTCTTGCCCTTAATTTAAGATTTAATATGAGAGTTGATGTTAGTTCTATATGTAAGACATATATTACATGTTTATCAGCTTCCCCCCAATTAAGTTAGCTTTATATATTAATATTTCCTCAATAATAATCAAGTAGGAGAGGAATGGAGAAAATTAACAAAGATGATTAAGACATTTTAAAAAAAATCATATTAACTAAATTAATTATCTTTTTTAATCTACTCAAATTACTTAATTAGATCTTAAATTAAGGATAAGAGGGGCATTAAAAATGGGCGAATTGAACAGCATTTTAACAAACAAAAATCCCAAAGAAGCTTTATATCAAATTTTGGTTTTTTATTTTTTGAGATACAAAAGGTAAGGCCAAGTTTCAATGCAAAAAATAAAAAAAAAGACCTAAACAAAAAACCTTCCGACTAACACTTCGAATCAAAAAGTTTAAACAATTAATCCATATTTTGATGTTCGGAAAGTATAACGTTAAAGTCAGGAAGAGTATGAATTAGTTGGCTTTTTACCACTTTCGCTGCCTGCTGATTTGCTCGTGGGTCCTCGCTTGTCTTTAATTTTACCCAAAACTGTCATATATATATATATGTGTGTGTGTGAATATATATATATATGTAAGAGATAATTAATTCAATCACTACTACATGAAAAATGTTAAGTTGTAGAATAATTACCAAAGTAGCAGCCCTCAAAAAACTGATAACATGTCAAGTAGTTCTTGGGGGCCGGGCACTCGTGTTCCGATGTTTTGTCTGATATTGTTGAAGTGAAAGTACAATCTGGATCATATTTTAGCTGATCGACATGGACACCTGTCCTCAAAAAAAAAAAAACCATAATTATTTCGCACAAAGGCGCAAGTTATCAATTCTACTGTAATTGGATTAGTGTTCTACTTACAGTAGTACACAATTTGCTTCCACCACGAGAGGCGCAGGCCGCTTCTGAAGGCAGAAGGTTTGCTGGCAAGGACATGAAGAGGAGTCATTCCCTTCTCATTGGATTTGCCCACAAGATCTGGGCACATTTTGATTATGTGGAATGCCAAATCTGCAAATGCACGTTAACAACAAAACACAAATAATAATCAATTCATATATATCATCAAAGAAACCTAACAATAAATGATGAATTGCTCACCGAAATGCTCTCTCTTAATGGCAGCGTGAAGGGCAGTATCTCCACCACCGGCTCTTCTTCTAAGAAACTGATATGGTTTTTCTTTGTCTTGCAAGTATGCTTTTTCAGCAGCATGGTGAAGGAAGATGAAGGCACGTTTACGGTTGTGAAGAGCCGCCGTGAAGATGGGCGTCTCGCCCCATTTGTTGGTAATGCTGAGCAAATGGAGACCCATGCTTTGTCCTGCGTCCACGATACAGTTGCACATTCTCACAGACTTTCTTGTGGCTGCGCGATGCAGAGGGGTTTCCCCTCTGGTATTCTTCATTCTCAGAGCTTTTTTGTTGGTATACTTGAGGATTGATTCTACCATCCTCTCCACAACTTCTTCTTTGTCATCACTAATTGCCACGTGCAGTGCGGTGTCTTTTGAGCTCGTGATCACAATGCAATGAACGCCTGATTTTGTTTCGTACAACTTCATGACCTTTTCCCAGTTACCTTTGAATGTGGACTGGGATAATTCAGCTTCGTCTTCGGCACTTGCACCCTCTGGTGAAGCGGCAGCAAATGGAAAATCTTCGCTCTCTGAAGCTGCTGGCGATGTTTGAAAGCCAGCAAATGGAGGGAAATCATCCATATCCATTTGTTCGGGTTTGACGATCGGGATGAATATGTATATGATGACCACAATGTTCGCCACTTCAACTTGGACCCCGATTCAGGGTTATGTCATTTTATACCAAACTCTGCACTTGCACAATAACACACTAACAAAAAGAATGAACACCAGATTACTTTGATTAGCTTCATAACGGAAAAAGATAAATAGGTGGGGACGACGTTAATTTGAATAAAGGTTAAAAGAAAGAAAGAAAATAAAGCGCGGCAAAGAAGCCATAAATGAAATCCATATCTAACTTCACTTTTACAACATACACAATTGATACCTTTCGTGTTTATGATATCACAAGAATCATAAAAAGCAAAAAGCATTTTAGCTCTCGCAAGGGGCGCAAAGAGGGGAGAGAGAGAGAGAATGCATGGAATAGAGGAGAGGAAGAGGCAAAGAGAGCAGCTTCTAATTCCTACGTGTTGAGAAAAGATTCATTCTAAAGTAACGATCGACGTTCATAACGTTAGTGCTGCTATGGAAGGCGGAGGGTTCGCTGGGCAGAATGTGCAGAGGAGTAATATAATCCCCTTGTCATCCACATAGCCCACACTGTGGTTTCCCTGCTGATTATAATGATTTGAAATGCCAACTCTGCCATTGACATTAATCAGTTACCTCAACCATGTAAAATTATAATTATAAGTATAACAAAAAACCAAATCATGAATTGACGAAAGATTTAGAACGAATATATAATTACAGGCATATTATCATAACAAAAAAATGTGAATGTATAATTAATACGAGTTTAATTTTTAATTATTTGGAATCAGCCAATGAAATTTAAAAAGTATGAGTGTGATATATATATATATATATATATATATATATAAAGAGAAAAGGGTGAGATAAAAGGAAGATCCAGAATTGGGTTTTCTTTTGGGGGGGATTTTGAGAAAAAAACAAAACGTCATGCATATATGTGAAATATTTTACCTTAAAATATACATATATTATGCCCCAAAAAAAAAGTGAGGGTAGAAACACACGCAATGTTGTTTGTACTTTATTAAATTTAAGTTTACAAAATTTCATACTATAAAATTTTTTAATAAAGTACGATAAATATAATAATAATATTATAAGTCATTGTAAAATTTTTATAAAAATAAAAAGAAAAATTAATTTTTTTATCACTCAGCTTTTAAATCATTTATAACTCAGTCTCTTGACTATCACTTGGTACGAATCAGTCCCTAAATTTTTGACTCATCTATGACTCAATCCTTTATCTTTTTATTTTTTAGTATTATTGTCCTTATCATTTATAACCCATTTCTGAGTCACCCTACATGGCATCTGAGCTGTCCTTGTCATCTATGATGTTGTTAAAATTGGTCCACCTCAGCTCCACGTCTTTTTTAAGTAAGCTAAAAATTTACATTATGTGAGGAAGAGCCATCAAACTCGTCTGCTGATATTTGTTCTCGCCTCTATTCTGTTCGATCTCCCTTTTTCCTTTCCTCTTCATTGCCGCGTTCCTCTGGTCCTGTCTTTTCCTTTTCTTTCTTCCGAGGCTTCTGTTCCCTGATCCCTTTCTTTAATTTTCAATTCCCCTTTCCTATTCTTTTTAGCCACCGCATGACTCCCTTATATTCATAAATAAAACTATTATTCAATATTAAAAAGATAAAACTACCTCTAGTTCCCTAACTTCTATTCACAATTATAGAAGAATAAGATAAATGAGGAGAAAAAAATACGAGATGGGAAAAAGAGAACTGGTAAGACAATTAAGGTTCTTTTTACTCAGGTCATTAGCGGTGCTCTCCAAGTGACGCCCAGTTGAAGCACAAGAAGCGGTGATAAGAAAAGAAGAAGGCGGCTTTGAGTTAGACTGAAGTGGAGTGAGTTACGAGGGAATGTGAGAATGTCAATTTGGAGATTGTTTGTGGTAGCGTGGAATCTGAGGTGGAGCAATTTTTTACAAAGCCGAGCTGTTTTCTTTTCCTCTTCAAGCTCCGGCCTTTTTTTCATACCTGCAACTTCCTTTTTTTTTTGGTCTTTCCCATCTTCGTCCCTGCTACAGTCCGTCCTCCTTCTGTTTTCAGATTTTTTTCACAAAAAGCCGACCTGAGGTGGAGCAATTTTAACGTATCATAGATGACAATGATAACTCAGATGTCACGTAGGATGACTCAAAGTGAGTTATAGATGATAAGAACAATACTCCCTCCGTTCCTTATTATAAGAGACATTTGATGCTTATGGCATGTTCCTATATATAAGAGACACTTAAAAGTTGTCTCTACTTTTTTTGTGTTGATTTCCTATTTTACCCATATTTATTGTCTTCAACTCACACTCTCTCTCTTTCCCACTTCTCTTTCTTTTAATAATTTACCATTGTTCTCTCTCCTTATTAATGAGGGCATTTTTGAAAAAAAAATTATACTTTTTACACATTGATTGTTCTTAACTAATTTTAACTGTTTTTTTTATTAACGTAATTCGGTTATTCGTCTCTTATAATAAGGAACGGAGGGAGTAATATTTAAAAATTAAAAAGATAAAGAACTGAGTCATTAGTGAGTCAAAAATTTAGAGATTGAGTCGCACTAAGTCATAATTAAAAGACTTAGTTATAAGTAAGTTAAAAGTTAAAAAATCAAAAGATGAATTTTCTTCCCAAAATGAAATAATATTAATTTTTTACATTAAGAAAAATTACAAAGTATTTTATGGAAAAGGAATTAGAGTTCTAGAAAATAAGCTGCTCAGATTCGCTATATCATTACCGTTGACTCGCTCATCCTATTTATCCAGGAGAGAAATGAAATTCTTTTATCCTTTATAAGGTGTTTTATTAATTTTTAATTTTTCTTTTTACTTATCATTAAATTTTGGTGTATTATTTAATTTTTAATGTAAATTTAATAAGACTAAAATTTAAAACTTATAAAACTTTTAGATAGAGTTAATGAGTCTTGAGGTTTTTTTTAGTTTTTTTATTAAACATGTTAAAAATAACTTATAAATATGATTAGAGTGATATGTGAACTCTATTTTTAAAAAGTCTAACTTGTAAATTTGGCTTGCGACTGTTACGTTTATATTTTAAAGAGAGTCTAAAGAACTAAATGAGTTTTTTCTTTCTTTTTTCGTTTTGGGTGGTGTCTAAAGCTTCAGGATGTAGATTTATCTCAAGTTGACGTTGGATGATATTGTCAAACAAGTGCAATGGTATTATTATTGTCGTGCAAAATTTTGTAGAACTAGAATAAAGTCAATATTGAAGAGGCAAATCAGCAAATTAAATGATCCAGCGACCGTCAAATATATTATCAAACTAATAATAATTAGAAGGTGGAGGAAGAGACACAGAGACAGAGAGTCGTCGCTACATTTAATAATCATGAATAAATATAGAATTATGCAAGAGGGGACTAGCACCCGCAATGCCCCCTCTAAATACGCCTCTGATCATACGGTTGTGGAACTTTCATAAAAATGCCTTTGAAAAGATCCATGTAAAGCGGAAACTCTACAATTGTGAAGGAAATAGGAAGACAAAGAATGACATGGAGAGGGAGCACTGATTTCTTGAACTTGTCCTCAAGCACAAAGGAACGTGCGGCGCAAAAAGAGATGAACATTGGGATAATGGACAGAAACAGTGAGCTTAAGGCTAGGAAAAACTTCACCGGAAATTTTTTCATAAAATTAAAGGGTTGTTTTCGAGAGGTGAGTATGGAAAGAAACAAGATGAGTGCAGTGACACAGAAGCATAGCGCAATTAGTGCAGTGATAGCAAAAATATCAAAGCCAGGGTGTCCTCCTAAGGTTGTTTTTGCCAGTCTCGTCATCGTTGCCACCAGGTACGGTGGTTGATGTTGCCAAGGCAACTCCGGCAACCAGCGCAGCCACCACTGAGCAAGATTCAGACGTACGACTAAGCCATTCATCACTCTTTTCAACAAGCTCTTGATGATTTCTGAGGAAGATTTCTTACGGAGTTTTTCCTTCTTTGTTTGTAAGGAATGTGAAGTGGGATGGCAAAAACGATTTCACATACTGCAATTCAAATTCCACCATGAGAGTAGTTAAATTTAAATACTTACAAGGATGACTAATAATAAATGTATCCGAGAGTGGAAAATAAATATAATATATATCTACATATTTACCTCATACCACTTGACTTCAAGTTGCATCTGCAAGGCGCCAGGGCCCTGAATATAATGTACAATTTGTACTTTGCTGCTAAGTGCAATATAGTATTGTCATCAGTATCCAATGATTCAGTGAGTTCATCCCAGAGATTTCACTTGTTTCTGTACTGCTTTTATAACCCTGGGTTGCCTGTTCTCCACTGCTACCTGCAATATATTTTTGTCCTTTGATGTGGTATCGTAGATGGACACCGGTAATTGGCTTAGAATTCCGTTCACCACTTCAATTACGTCTTCCTGGGCTGCCACCAACGAGGGCATATAAGGTTCTGTCTGCTTATTTGTGTCCCCACCGTCGCCTGCCATGCCCAATATTCAAATTCATCGATCCTTCAATACTATTACACTAACTGGAGATTAAATGTTTGTGCTGCTTTCATTCAACAATATATATATATATATATATATATATATAGCAGATACGGTAAAGAACTGAAAATTCCTTGGACTACTTATCTTTCGCGGATCAAAATCCGTTAGTATTCCTGGGTCTGCAGTATCAGCAACATAACGTATGCTTTCTTGTGCTTTTCCATGAGTGCTTTCAATATCTGAACACTCCATTCATGCTTTTCTTTCTCTTCCCTTATTTTGTTAACCATCTTCTCTGTCAAGTAAATTCATGCAGACTTAACTCGAATGTGTATATGATCGAGCTACACTGTATTTACATCTTATGAATAATATAGTCTTTTTATAACTTATTATCTAATTAAATACTACAGTGAACTGGCACATCTATGCAAAATCTAAAATGAGCAATAAATAGTATGTGGCCTCTTACTAATATAATACTAC